TGGATGTGAGGTGAGGCTAGAGAATTGAATAATGACTGGTCATTGCAAGTCAGTGAAAAATGTGAACTTCGCTACCCAGAGCAGTGACATCAGATTCATGAAATGAAGATGTCACTGGGTATATGTCAACCTGAAAGAGGATTGAAAAACAGATCATTGTGAGGGAGGATTGAATCAGGAAAGGAAGGACTGAAAAAGGAGAGTTAGGCCCATCGAATCCTGCTCAGGGGAAAGAGTGACCATTTGTTCAACAAATACAGATTTCCCCACTGTGTGCTTAGCACTAGGGATATGAAAGTGAGCAAAACAGATATCAGAAACCAGATGACAGATATAATCCTACCGTGAGGTTGTTTGCAGTTTAATAGTCTAATAACTTAGTCTTGATTTGCCTAATTCCTTGTTTATCGAATGAAGCTGTCATGGTGATGGTGAATTCCACATAATTTGTAAAAAGGGAGAAGATTTGCTGGTTAAAAAACAGTGTCTTATTGGTTATATGTTATTAGTTATATGCCTTATTCGTTTTATGCAAGAGTCATTGGGCTCAGCTTGGTTAATGTGAATCAGCTTCTGAGATTCTGGCCAGTTGGGTTTCTGAGCCCACAGGAATAAAGGACAGGCCCTGGACCATGCTGAATTCATCAACTCACTGCCTTCCTGCGATGAGGTATTTAATTGCCAGTTGGTCTTCTCTAGGAAATATTCTGACATCATTCCATTCACAATGCCCCTCTCCTGACCTTTTTTTCTTGTTTTCCAGTTATCACTAAGGTTGATATAAATAGATGCTTGGTAGATCTGCATGCATTTTCCATGGAATATGTATAGTGAGCCCATAATTCTAGATGCTGGTACAATTTATCAAAATTGGTTTTATACCAATAGTTTATGCATTTATTCAACACATATTTATTTTGTTATGTATATTATGTATAACTGGAGGTTCAATGCCAAGCAAATAAATACAATTTCTGCCTGTGTGTGCAGAGCTCAAGGTAAATTTTGTGGCGATTTTCCAAAGCATAGGTGTTTTACATGGTGTCTGCGATTTTATGTTGTCCAAGATTGGTATAAGATGACTCTGACAATTAGATTTATTTTAATTAATTAAAAATTCAGTGTAAATACTCAGAGGTAATTAGTCAATTGAATGCACTCACAGTACAGCCTACTTCTTGTTTAAAATATCTTAGATTTAGCACTGTATAAATATACCCTTTCTAAAGGTTTTATTTGATTAAGTTAGAATCAAATATTGTCATGTTATGGGTAATTTCCTACTTCATGTAAATGGAAAATTATTTTAGGCCCAAGGAAAATTCCAGAAAGCTTGGAACCACTTTACCATTGCCATAGAAATTGATCCAAAGAGCTACCTAGCCTATGAAGGAAGAGCAGTGGTCTGTCTTCAGATGGGTAATAATTTTGCTGCAATACAAGATATTAATAGTGCCATAAAGGTAAGAGTACACTTAGATTATATTCAATTAGCATAAATTAGCACCATCAATGAATAAGGTCAAGTAAAAAAATTCTGTTATTTTTTTTAAATGACTTGTAGAGGAAATTATATATATATGTACATATATATACATATATACACATACATATATACATATATACATATATACATATATATACATACATGTATATATGTGTGTGTATATATATATATATATATATATATA